CACATGAAATAGTATTAACATACATGAAATGGTATTAGCATACATAAAATGGTATTAGCATACATGAAATGGTATTAACATACATAAAATGGTATTAGCATACATAAAATGGTATTAGCATACATAAACTGATATTAACATACTTAAAATGGTATTAGCATACATAAAATGGTATAGCATACATGAAATGGTATTAGCATACATGAAATGGTATTAGCATACATGAAATGGTATTAACATATAGGAAATGGTATTAGCATACATAAACTGATATTAACATACTTAAAATGGTATTAGCATACATGAAATGGTATTAACATACATGAAATGGTATTAACATACATAAAATGGTATAGCATACATGAAATGGTGTTAGCATACATGAAATGGTATTAGCATACATAAACTGGTATTAACGTACATAAACTGGTATTAACATACATGAAATAGTATTAACGTACATAAAATGGTATTAACATACATGAAATGGTATTAGCATACATAAACTGGTATTAAAATGCATAAAATGGTGTTACCATACATAAAATGGTATTAGCATACATAAAATGGTATTAGCATACATGAAAAGGTATTAATTAACATACATGAAATGGTATTAACATACATAAAATGGTATTTACATACATAAACTGGTATAAACATGCATAAAATGGTATTAGCATACATGTAATGGTCTTAACATACTTCAAATGGTATTAGCATTCCATTCATAAAGTGATATTAACATACATGAAATTGTATTAACATACATGAAATGGTATTTACATACATGAAATGGTATTAGCATACATAAACAGGTATTAAAATAGCACTAACATAGGTATTAGCCTGAGACTATAACAATCTTCACGAAGCTCCGAACCTATTGTATTTTTTAAAGATCTATTATAAAATCAGAAGATTATTTAGATTATTTAGAATTGCATTATATAACATTTATTTTACATAGACGTGGGAAGCATAATATAATAATTACACCTGTACATGATAATACTGCAGCGCACTGAAAGATACATATATGGAAGAAGAGTTTCATTTTGTTCTTTTGTTCATGTGTGTGCTAAATACCACGATTGTGTTCACCTACCTGTCTCATGCGAAGTTTATTTTATTTATCATGAATTGAAAAGAAAAGCATACTTTGTAACAACCTAATTTGTGTTTTCCTCTCTTCACAAAATTCCATTCTTAAGGTCTGTGAAGAAAAACGAACAATAATGTATTTATTTGTGCATAAGTTACCTGAGCCATGTAACGTTATTGACTTGACTCATAATGTTGTTACGAACTTTCAAGTAATTATAATATAATTTATTAATTCTCCAATTTTCAGTAGAAATTTCTCTCCCATGAATTTACATTCATTTAGTGTGATGTGTTTTGACGGTATTCCTTACCCCCTCATTAGAGCATACCGTTGACTACGTGCCAAGAACTATTTGCACAAGACAACTTGTGTAAATTTATCATGTAATATATCCACCGTCAGTTGACGTGCAAGTGGTAATAATGTAAATGCAAACTAATTTGCCAATATTTACTATATGCTATCGCCTCACAGTGTTTTTTTCATGTTGGACCACAGTATTACCACTTTAAGCCAGCTGACTATGTACATATCAGCACAAAGAAAACCGAAGCAGATTATATTGTCGCAGCATTTTCAAATACGTAAATTTTCGATTATGATATTGCTGAAAACTGAACTGCCCAATTGACTTTTTTGCGATTGTACTGTAACTAACCGAAGGACAGGGTGGTATTTTGTCGCCCTATCTTTTACTTTTTATGCTGACTTTAGGCGCCCTCAACGATGTCGGAATCGGGAGTATTTATCATCACCGGTGTAATATTAGCCGTGTTTCGCATGTATATTTAGACGGGGTTAAAGTTCAATTTGTCAATAAACATATTTAGAAGTAGTGATTACTCAGCTGGTTATTATAATTGCAATATTAGATGTCATATGAAATCTGTATATGCTAGAGCAAACATTCTGCTGCACATTTTCTGAGTTGCTACCTGGGATTGTTGTATTTCTGTCGATTAACTCTTTTAAAATTCCTTTGTTAAATATGTATTTCTCCTATGTATGGTTTTAATTTTAAAAAAAATAAAAATAGTATAATATAATAATGCATTCTGTATTTAGATTGGTCTTGGTCGGAGCATGAGAATATCCCAAACTCTTATATTGAAAGACGTCTTGACATCTGGGTGTATATTACGGACATTGAAGGCTGAATTTCACCTTATATTAAACAGGACAGTTACTATTTTAATGTAGCAATATTGTCTGTTGACATAATAAAAATAATATTTCATACTTATCCTGTATTGAAACTTGAAGATTAGTTAATATATTTGTATTCAGAATTGGGTATTTAACTTGCTTTCTCATTTGTTTGCATATACTACATTGTTATCATAGATCACCTTGGAAAATCGAAGAAAGTAATATATCAGCTCTACGTAAGTCGAAGGATCTAAGATCGAACTTGCCAAAAGAGCCTGAATACTGATATATCTGCAACTAAACCTTAAGTCTCGTCTTATGTGTGTTTGAATCTTTAATAGCACCTAGAAAGTAGTATTATGTTTAATCCTGATAATGACACCTTCAATACGCCAAAAGTACTAGTTTTATTTGTCTGTATGACATCGGAGATCACAAGGTATATATTTAGTGTCCTTGACAGTGTCGGTAAACTTATATCCAATTAAGTAATATCTATCAGTCAGTTTAAATTCAATATCATTTTGTCTCAAATTCTCTGTATATTGTTCGAGATAGGAGTTAGCATATGGCTTTAAAAACGTTCTTGATTCAACTCATAACTCAACATTTGTTTTGTTTTTTGTTTCCACCGAATATAGCTCACAGACGTGGGACCCCCTCCCCTTGCGGAATTGACCCGAAGTAGAAATCCTGACCGTCACATAACGGCGTTAACTCGAACTCTGCTCAGACGCGTTCATAACTTACATGTTGCCAGTCGACTTACGGTACCAAACTACCTCCAAAACAAAGATGTGTCTGCAGACATGCTGCTATAATGTCAAATTACCGTGGTGACAATAATAATATGACAATAGTAACGAAACAAAATGTTGAAATAATGATCATAATGTCTGTGAAATAGTGTGACAATAATGACTAAATATTCAAATAATGTGACAATAATGAACCAAATAATGAGCAAATGGTGTATAATGATGAAATGATAATAACATTAGTAAGCAGATAATAAAGCCAAAATAATGATTAAATAATGTAATACCAGCAATTAATATGAAAATAATAGGAAAGCAATGGATGCAGGTATTTATATCAGTGATCACACCCCATACTATCTTAATGTAATACGTATTTCTCATTCAGTGTACAGTACTTACTATCCCTTCCCATGATGCATTTTGGCATTGCACACTATGAAAACAACGTAATAAAACATTCAGGAATATTCTTTTTGAGAATGAATGTTTTGAATGTTTTCTTCAATAACAATCATGTAAATGACATCGACATAAAATGACATTCAAATCGACAGAAGGCAATTTCAACGGCAGCAAAACCACGTCACGTGACGTGGGAACATGAATTTAACAGGGTAAAATATATTTTTGTTGATTTACAAAATCCAAGATGGTCGCCAAACCGCGAGAATAATAACACATCTGAAAATTTCACTTTAAATAGATTCTTCTAAAGACGCTGTGTACCAAATACCACGTCAAATGTACCAGAGCGTATGAGCTACTTAAAGCTTGAATGTTATTTCTTGAAAATTAAAAATGACGGCCAAGGTCACATGGCCACAAAAGTTCGTTTTATAACTATTACTTCACAAATGCCTTATACGTTCTGAACCCCCAAAATGGTGCAATTCAGCACTTCCGGGTTTTACAAAATCCAAGATGGCGGCCGACACGCGAATAATCAAACATTTCAATCACTTTGTAGAGTGGAAGTAGATTGTACACCACAATTGTCATAATTGTAAAAAGTCGTTTGAAAAAAATACGGAATATAATAATAAGAAGAAACAAAGCATAACAATAGACTTTCAATTCTGACAGGCCTTGAAAGCCTAAAAAATAAAGTGAAAACAAAATCGTTCTGGACACATGTGTATGTGAAAATAGGCGCCCCGTGATTTCAATGTATTTCAAAAAATGTTCACTGTTTACGACAGTGATTGTTTATCTTTGGTGAGCAAAATGTTGCTGACTTGCAAAACTGCGTCTTTAATATTCAAATAAATGGAAAACACTTACAACAACATATTATTTATCGGTGATATCAAAACATATTTTCTAATATTGATATATACAGCAGACCATATGCCTTACATTGGTAAAAAACAAAATCATAGTAGGTGGCTAAAAACGTGTCAAAATGCGTATGTAGTACGTCATTGGTAAATAGGCTGTTTACTGCATTGTCCGCCCACAAACCGTTCGTTGCCTTGGTAATACACCACATGCCGTATTGACAGATTCGTGAAATATTACCGACTGGTTCCGTTTTACGGATACACGGAGTTCTCGATTTTGACCTAATCACAACGTGGCATTTATTTGAATCGAACTATAGTTTTGGGTAATATTAGATGGTTCCGTTGTTGTCACACAGTAGAACAACCAGCACGAGTCATGTCTATATTTAACTACGATATACTTTTAATGACGACATAACCGCTACGCCAATGAAAACGTTGTAAACGAGGGGATCACTATCACCCACAATGCACCACATTTCATTCATATTGAATTCCATTGTATTAATTTTACTCATATGACATCAGCGTGGATGGACAGCATATGTTTACACAGGGGTTTTGTGAAATTATAGTGAAGGTGAAAACAAGACTGGTGATATCAATCGAATGTTGGTGAAAACGATCTTATGACCGAATATTTTGAATTGAAACGAACGACGGACTGGGCGATGCAAGCGCCACGTCGTCATATAAGCTATGCTGCTGGACTCCAACTATACATACACTGTCTATGATGATGAAATACCATCGGCAGTTGAACGGCTTCCCTGTGAGCTATGGGCTGCAATATTCTCCTATTTTCACCCTGTGGACGATAAGTTACCGCGATTGGCACTAGTGTGTAGAAAATGGCGATTGGTGCTGTATAAATCGTCTGAACTGTGGCGGCACCTCAATATCATTCATACCAACTACAGCTCGCTCCAATACCGGCTTATAAACCACATATTTAACGTATACGGATACCATATTGAGCATCTGGTATGGTCAAATGGGTCGCGGGTTTATGAGTCGTCGCTCCATGCTATTTCTAATTTGTCCAATCTCAAAGTTATTCGTTTGCCGATTTTATGGAATAAATCCGTGATTGAATGCCTGGCACCACTGAAACGTCTTAAGGTCATTTACATAAATGGTGGATTTGAGCTGCAGGACTCAGATCTCCTTCTAATACTTGCATATTTTCGTGATGTGCGCCGTATTACTTTACACGGTTGCTGGGGACTCACCAGCCAAGGAGTAGAAACATTTCTCAACCGACTCGACCCGACTACAGAGGTGAAGCTCAAACTGAACACCGGTCTACCACTCAGGGATTATCGCAGCGATAGGGCGATGCTAGAAGGCGGGGCCTTAGCGAGATCTTTAGCGGATTGTGATAAAGATAATTTCATCACTGTTATATCTTTTCACTTCGTCCCAATTGAGCTGGAAACGTTGTGGAGCATAGTCAACTCGCTGCCAAGGTTACGGAAATTATCAGTCAGCAATTGCGAGGTAAGTACGTATAGATGTGTGCTATCCTACTTACACGTGACCTGGTAGAAAATGTTACTAATAGTATACCCCAACTAGTGGTCTGATATGTTGACAATACAAAGTTTTCATTACGTCTGTAAACATTTTGAGAAATGCATTAAATGGTGACCAGTTTAGCTTCACAAAATCTATCCTTAATTAACAATGTACGTATAAGCAGTATAAATGGAAACCATTTTCAATTTAGAGATTATCCGACTAGACAACAACCTGTTGTTCATCTGCAGACCACGTGACCCATGTACTGATTATGATCGCTTGTATACTGACGTCATGGTGTATTGACGTCATTGACGTATTATTTTAACAACAGTAGAGATGTTCAGGGAGTTATGTGCACCGATATCCAGCTAACAGCTGGCTCTCAACTGACGTGGCAGATTTCATGATAATCCGTCAATATGGCTGAAGGACATTGAGGTTAATACATTTATAATGTAAAAAAAAAGGGAAAACCGGTAACAAATTAAAAATGTTTGTTTTTTTATGCTTTCGTGCAATGGCGTGAGACTGTTATATGATGTGTCGGGGTAAATTAAACTATTCTACTAACCGACCAATCAATTATATATTTTCATGGAAATATTTTTTCACGCTAACAATCTTGAATAGAAATTATTCATCGTAGTCTTATATTACCAGCCGTATACAAGCTGGAAGGGAAAGGAATCGCTTTCAAAATCGTTCCCATATGGTAACCATGGAGACTGAAAATGTTATACTGCGTTGAGAAACGACGTTACTAATAATATAATTTTCCGATTATTTAACATAAAATTAGTATTGAAATGTATTGGAATATGCCAAATACTAAACAGCTAAACATGTAAAACACTATGTTGGGTAAATATTAATCAGAGCCAACCTTTCTCTATGACGGAGAAAATTGTCACATCTGATGAATTAAATATCTAACACATTTCATATATTTTAGGAAGACATCGTATTTCCTGTGTGACTCATGTACTAAATTAGGACAACTAACGAAATAGTATACCGTTTGTTCCCTTGCAATGCATCGATTTCACGTGTCTGTGTGCAATATTTATTATTTCGATTCGCTTCGTAAACATCGTCACTATGGACATGTCTTTGGTAAACATATAAATAATGAACAATCGAATATTACTGAACTCACCCAAATTACGTGTGTACATTTCCTTATTAAATCGGTGCATTCAACGTTAAACGCGCCTGCTTCCGAAACTTCCGAGATTTATATAATATTGAATTCCGTTAACATGACTGTGTGAACTGTGAACTTTGGTCTATTTTAAGCCAAATTTAACAGGCACAATTACCTATATGTAACTCCCGGTAAGATTTTTTTTACTAATTTTGATATTTGTTATATCATTTTATGCGAGTGAAACATTGCCCAGGTTGTCGCTGCGATACGTCGTTCCCGAGTCAATGTAAAGCTTCTTACGTGACTGTACCGAATTGTCTACTCACCCCTATCACCTAACAATCAGACCAATCAGAAAACAGCTTGTTTATAGGCATCTTTTTTTGACGTATCAAAATCTGCGTTGTATATATGCTTTGACTCCATTGTAGTTCCTAGATGTTGGCATCGTTGAATGCGATATCGTTTGTGTTTTCTAGTTTGTTAAATAACAGCACGTGGTTCTCATTTTGCACATGGAAATGCAGTTCACTAACTCCACACAAATTGTCATTCGGTGTTATGAATATTCATTCTATATGATATCTTATGCACACGTATTTGGATATCTCCACCGATTATACGATGGGGAAATTGGAACGTCTGACTAATAGTTTTATACGATTTTTATTTTATTTTTCATTCAGGGCTTGTACGGTATTCGACTAAGATCTGAATCCCTTCAGAAAGTTTATTTGCTGCACCTATGGTCGGCTTTGTTTGTCAGTATCCATGCACCAAACTTGCGCTCTCTGAAGATAGACGAGGGGCTAGAATCCATGGAACACCTAGAAATAGAATCTAAGAAACTACGTGACGTGTATATTGACGGAAGCGGCATTCTTCGTACAGTACACATCAAAAGCAATAAGTTGAAAAATATGGAGATTTTCAACTGCCCCCTTTTAGATTCACGAAGTCTGGTCCAAAGTTTGTCAGAGTGTCCGACGCTATGCACTCTTCGTATTGGTGATGTTGGAGTCGATGATATGTCGTTGGATGAATCATTCTGTTCCGGGCTCCAGACAATGTGCTTGCTAGAAGATTACTCCAGTAAAACTCTGCGAGTGCGATGCCGGGGTCTGCGAGCTATGACGACTCAAGACGAATGCGAAATCCAAACTTTAAACGATGTTCTCATTATGGCTGAGAAATTAAAGAAGATTTCATTAGTTGGTGTCCCTAATCTCAGGAATTTGATAATACAATGCGAATCATTGGATAAAGTTGAACTGAACGTGTGTAGTGACAACCAAGTGTGCCTTGAGACATGTATTATCCAAGCAATCCACCACGTGGGTTTTCTTCGTTTCTTCGACTGCGTTGTTAGGACTCTCATTCTTAGCACGCCCTCAGCCGGTGTGGTCGTCCTGTACCGCTGCCAAATTGGCGATTACGTGCTAGAGATGGCGTTGAATGGCTGCCCCAACATAACACACCTCAATTTAGAGAGATGTTCGACTTTAACGAAGATACGCATTCCTATGGCAGCTACGTTAATGCGATACATAAATTTGTTTGGCTGCCACAATATGTTACGTGTTGAAATCGATTGTCACGAATTATTAGCAATCAATCTCGGTGACTGCCCAAGTGTTAGACTTTATCTCAACGACGTCGAACGAAATCTTGCCATATCATCACTGAATGCACTCGAATTTCCCCACATTGTGCTCCCAGACCAAATGGTGCGATGGAACCATCAACTTACACCACAACTTTGTTCTTAACTTTAATGAGATGCAAATAACCTTTCTCACAATGTGCCTTAATGGATTCAAGTCTGATATTCGTACAGAACTCCTGTCCTGAATCATTCCAGGTATACTAAATTGAAACTTGATGAGAAGCACAGTTCCAAAGTTGGTAGGACGAATACTGGCCATGTTCGATGTGCCATACATCTTAGTGCAAGATTGTTAGGATGTACTTCTATTAACAAACACCATATATATTACTATAATAACATATTTATTATTTCATAGTAGATAACAGACATGGTAATACACTAGATAAATAGTTGAATGTCCATCTACAGTACAGTAATGATATTCTAAAATGTGATATATGATTTAAGACTACATTAGTATAATTAGCCAAACATTAGCGTCCGGTTTAATTATTTTGGACAGGTATATGCCCACCAATCGGTGAATGCCGAAACAGGATAATCATTGAAAGTATGCAAATTATATGGTTAATTATCAAAACCAGAAATCTCACGATTTACATTTTTTCCCCAATTTTCTGCTTTCTTTGATATTGATACGTGTCAAATTCATTTACATATTTACCCGGATGTAACGTTACAGATTAGAATGAATTATTTCAAATGCGCTTATTATTATTATCTGTAGAGTTACTGATAATTGTCATTAATCGATTGATACAAGTTGTGCAATATGATATACTAATTTCATGCCATTTGGCCAATTATCGGTTCGATACTTAGCTGTTAGTCGTATAGACAAATCATTTAACATTTTAATTTATTATAATATTCATTATCAATTCTCATTGGTATTGTTACTACCATTCTGTTCAGTTAGGTAACACTAAATGTTCTCGCGACGCTCTAATTCCAGGTTGAATATATGTTAGATCTGAACTATGCTGTACATAGTACGGCAATCGCTGCTGGCACGCGTTTCACAATCCCACATTACTAAAAAAAACACCGACTTAATATATATTCCCATACCTGTTTCATTAGTTCGTAATTAAGAACCGGCGATAGAACGTTGCTATGCGACGGAAACTCATGTATCAACTAGACGATGATTAAGCATCTAATAGTGTATTTAACATGTAGCAATATATAAATATTATATATATATACAAGTACGCTGAAAATTAGACTAAAACAACAGAGATATTTTACTAATTATGTCATTTACTCATAATTTAACAGTTAACAGAGCAATGGTGCTTAGAACGCATTTATGTACTCAATAATTCCAATGTCTATATATTGAAATGCTCATTGTCATCTGGTTATGATACATTGTGTTTCACGCCACCTAATCGTACACTGTCACGATCCTCTCGTGGAATCTCGCGTGACAACTGTACATCATTTCCAAGAGACATTTAGTTCGAAATGCTGAGTTCGTTATATACCACATTGTACTTCCAACGATCTGTGGCCATTATTATTGCACTTGTATCTTAATAAATGGGACCAATTACATTTGCATATATAATATATAAATCTTATATTTTTTAAGCGAAAGCTATTTTTATATTTAAAAAGCATTGAACCATGTATTGCATATAACGGTTGATTGAGACGCGAATGGCATTTTCTTACATTATTTGGAGAACTGGTATTATTTAAAAGATATGAACCTAATATAATGGTAGGAGTAGTAAAAATGGAATTTAGGTATTTTATGATTGAGTATTATGTTAAAATATTGTTAACCTAAGATAATTCGTTATAAACCCAAACCTTAACTTTGAGTTGATGGCGCTTGTTTAGTTGGGAGACTGAGTTTGGTATGACAATGGGATTGTACTTGGATATTAGGAAAATAAAATACTCTGCATAAAAATGGTCAATATGATATGATAGTGCGTGTGTGATTACTAATTGATGTGTTATGTTTGCATATTTCAATTGTGTTTATATATGTTTGTATATTCCCATTATGTTTATATATATTTGCATATTCCAATTGTGTTTATATATGTTCGCATATTCTCACTATGTTTATATATGTTTGCATACTCCCATTGTGTTTATATATGTTAGCATACTCCCATTATGTTTATATATATTCGCATATGCCCATTGTGTTTATATATGTT